TTTTTTTTTTTTCTCTTAGAATTTCTTTTGGGAGAGTGCTTTTTTCTGTGCATCTCATGTACATATTATCATCATCCCCTTTAATTTCTTTAATTATGATGATGATAAGGTGGGGTGGCTGACAACCCCACCTAACAATAATATTTTTTTTTTAAAATCTTTAGTCTCAATTAAAGATTAATTAAAGATAATAACATATAATTAATGAAATTGACTTTTAAAATTAATTGGTCAAAATCTTATCTCCCATATCCATAACCAGCCAAGGCCTATGCCAAGGTCCTCGCGAAGGACAAGAGGAGATTACCCACTCGGGGTATGTTCTATAACAACGGGGATACCGTTCGACGGCCGGTGTAGCTCACCCTGAAAATTACATATTCACATTTCATACTTTGATCATACCCAAGTAAGTAAACAAATTTCACAATTCAAGGCATAGACAATTTTATAAGTAAACCCACCTGAATACCGAGATATAGCCAAACACTAGGTTGAAGGAATAATGGCATAAGTTCAGCTCGATGGACCTACAACAATTATAATAGCCTATCAATTGACTATCCAATACAAGACAACACACAAAGCACATATATAGGCTTTTAATATATAATCATATTAATATTTAGATTTGAATTTTATATTCACACTTTAAAATCCAACTAATAATTTAGTAATTCCAATAATTACTTAATTACTATCCAAATCTAGTTGATTAATTAATTCTATTCTTTTAATTGACATCTAATCAAAATTAAATTTAATTAAATAATTAAATTATTTAATTAAGTTTAGTCCATTAATCCAACTATTGGAAATACCAATTTCAAAATGGCATCATCCAAAATTTGGTGTGACCCTTTTAGGTTCACGATAAACACTAGTAGTGTGTATACAACTTGTTTGTAATTTAAATTAATCTAAGTAGTTTATATTCTTGAAATTAACTCCTTAATTTCATAAAACCCACAAATCGTGATAACACTTAGTAAGTAGCATGATTATCTAGTGTTAAGTAAACTAACGAGTAAACATTTTCAATTGCAAGTACATACATGTAGAATCCTTTCGACAACTAATTTCCCAATTAAATCTTAGGCATGAATTTATAAGTCGAAACCCAATTGATTTAATAACTATGATTCCATTTCAAGTTTAGTGATTTCTTTATGAATCCATATTCATCCCGTCTCGTCCAAGGTCTTTGAACCACAAACTATGAAAAACATAGGAAATTCACTTATACACACAAGTGTCAAATTCATTGTTGGCCACAAATAAACGTCAATACACATTAATACATTACTCAAATATCCCTTTTATGATTTTTCAGCAATCAAAGGATAAATCAAAGTAAAGCAAAACATGCACAAGATTACTATCCTACCTCAAGTTAGAGGATCAGTCATGTACTATTGCGACATGAAAATTCTATTCGACAGTTAAAAACTTCTTGTTAAGAATTTTCATTGGGCCATGTTCAATAGACTTGTTCCCCAACAAGCACCCGGATACATGCACTTGCGTCCACACCCTAATGTT